TTGCAAAATGTTGGGGAGAACTTCAATTTTGTTTCTCTTCTTGAAAAATTTTGTCATGGTTTCAGAAGCCGGAATTTTTGATGTTGAGGTGAATATATTTTTTTTCTGTTTCGAGAAAATCCCCTACTAGTTTTGTTTTGAGGGCAATATTGTCAAGCTGCTGATTTGTTTCGAAACTTTTTTCGGCTGGATTCTGCCTTTCACGGGGACAATACATCCATCTCGTGACCCGAGAAAGAAATTTAAAAATATCGACCGAGTGCCGAAACTGTCAAGTTTTCCGCAGATTGACAATTAGCCGGAAAAAAAAAAGTTGGAGGGCTCGATTTCACCAGCGATTCGGCATTTCTCTCGCCTCGATAATCATTGATGAATTAATTGATCGCAACATCGACGCTGTGCATCAATTATTGACGCGTCCGTAACGACGATTTCGAATTTACATCGAAAATTTTGTTTTGTTTAAATCTCTCTCTCTCTCTCTCTCTTCTCGATGTCAAAATCGATCCGAGAAAACGACTTGAGCTACTTTTCCCGTGCGAAAAAGAATAATGGCACATATGCACAGCACGAAGGACTCGGAAGAGTTTTTTTCGCGCCTCCGGTTATGTTTTTGCGATAATAGGCATCACGAGAGGTGTTTGTTTCAAAATGCTGTGCGAAGTTTGTGCAGTTATATACCGTATATATACTGTAGTTGAAAATAGCATTGAGGCAGGAAAAAAGAAGGTCGGAAGTTGTCAAGGATGTGCCTTTGTGTTATTTATTAGGCGATTGCCCGCGATTTAAACAGGAGAGAACTGCTAATAATGAGAAGTTTCAATTATTTATGATTCATGCACAATATTATTTGACACGGAATTTTTGGTGGGTTTTCAATGAATTGATTTATTTTTTACTTATTCGTGTATTTTTTTTAAATTTGTAGTAATGATCTTGACGAGATTGGGAAAGTTGAAAATAAGTGTGGGGGTTTTTTTTTTGCAACATCATCTGAAGCTTGCAACAACAACAAGAAACGGCCAGATTTCAAAAAATAAGGAATATTTCTTAACTCAGAATATCGTTAATTTTATGAAAATGCAAATTTCTCTGCAGATTTAATCTCGGAAGGTTCATCGTTATTGGCAAGCTTTAAAAATTCAATTTGAATTAAATGACGAATCCCATAGATTGAAAACCCCTTGTGCTTTGCATAGAATTTTTTTTTTCGAAGTATCCATTTTAAAGATTCAAACTTTTTCTCTGCAAAATTTTCACAGCATAAGAAGGAATTTGATGAAGGAAGAAAATGGAGATGTTTGGGTTTTTACCTGATTTCTTTGGGAATTTTTCTAGCTATTTCTTTCAAGGGTTCGGGATTTGTTTTTGAGCAATTGCTGCGCGAGGATTGTTTTTCGAATTTTTGAACAATCCATTTTAAATATTTAAAATGTTCTCTGCAAAATTGCAACAGCACAGGAAGAAATCGATGAAGAACGAAATGAAGATGTTTGGGTTTTTAGTCGATTTCTTCGCGAAATTTTCTAGCTATTTCTTTCAAGGGTTCGGGACTTGTTTTTGAGCAATTGTTGCACGAGGATTGTTTTTCGAATTTTTGAACTATACATTTTAAATACATAAACTTTTCTCTGCAAAATTGATGAAGAACGAAATGGAGATGTTTGGGGTTTTTGCCGATTTCTTTGCGAATTTTTCTAGCTATTTCTTTCAAGGGTTCGGGACTCGTTTTTGAGCAATTGTTGCACAAGGATTGTTTTTCGAATTTTTGAACTATCCATTTTAAATATTCAAACTCTGCTCTGCAAAATTTCAACAGCACAGGAAGAAATGGATGAAGAACGAAATGGAGATGTTTGGGTTTTTAGCCGATTTCTTCGCAGTTTTTTTTCTTTTTCAAAGTTTCGGGACTCGTTTTTGAGCAACTGCTGCACGATAGGATTTTTTTCTTCAAATTTTCGAAGTGTTCATTTCGAAGATTAAATTATTTCTCTGCAAAATTTCCACAGCACAGGAAGGAATTGATGAAGAACAAAATATAAATGTTTGGTTTTTTAGCCGATTTCTTCGAAGTTTTCTGCCTATTTTTTTCAAGGGTTCGGGACTCGTTTTTGAGAAACTGCTGCACGAGGATTTTTTTTCTCGAATTTTTCGAAGTATGCATTTCAAAGATTCAAACTTTTTCTCTGCAAAATTTTCACAGCTTAAGAAGGAATTGATGAAGAACGAAATGGATATGCTTGGGTTTTTAGTCGATTTCTTTGCGAATTTTTCTAGCTATTTCTTTCAAGGGTTCGGGACTTGTTTTTGAGCAATTGTTGCACGAGGATTTTATTTCTCTTTTTTTTTGCAAAAGGTTCGATGTGTGGCCTTTTTCGGGGGGCAGCACTTTCAAATGCAGACAGGAGGCCAATTTTATTGCTTCTTCAAAAACCTAATGCTTCGTGTTTGCGTCCCAAGGGGTTTTCCCTGGCAGTTACAAGAACCTTCTTCGGAATGATAAAGTTTAAAAAAAAATTGGCACCTTTTTTTCTCGTTGTTGTTCCGCGGAAGATTTTTATTGGAAGCGGGATTTCCGAATCAATGGGGAATGAAAGGCTCAAGGGACACAAATTTGCCTTCTTACCCATGTTTTCGGTGTCCGTGGGAAAAAGAAAACCCGTCCTCTTTTTTTTTTTTATTATAGGGCAGAACTTTTTTTCTGTGAAAAAAAATGAACTTTCGTCGCGTAAATGACACGGTTTTTTGTCCAAAAAATTGACATCAGACGTTTCACCAGAAATTTGCGGCATGCAGGAGAATAATGCAAATTTATTTTCCGGAATAATACACTACGGACTGTGTTGAATCAATTGTTGATTAATATAAGGGAGACATTTTTAAAACGATAAATTTTCTAGTACTTAAATTACTGCGACTCGGTCGGCAATTTTTCGGAAGAGAAAATATGAAATAATTACGCTTCACTTCCGAGGTTCTTTTTTCTGTATTCTGTATTCTGGAATTGGCGACTTGCATTTGTGCCAAAAAACGTCTCTTCCATTTAATAAATTCCGCGAGTTCTTTATTGTTCGAAAGATTGCGCGAAAAAAAGTCTTATTGCGACTAACGTTTAAAAATGGAGTGAAATAATATCGCGTTCAAGGAAAGATGCTTCTTACATTTCTCGTTTTTAAAAATCCCGGTCCAACTGATGGAACTTTACAAGTAACCCCTGGGTTTAGAAAGCAAGAAGAAGGTTTAGAACCGGGCAACGCCTTAAGATTCGCGCACCTTAACACATTTTTAAAGGGACGTAAGGCTAGATCAAAAGCAGCACGAAGAAAAGGAGCAAACGTGAACATATTTGCTTATTTTTACACGCATTAGGTTTTTTTTGGTTATCGTTATATAGGTGCTTTTATTTTATTTCATTTTATTGTTCTTTATCCTCATCCGGTTTATATTAAAAAAAAAAAATTCAGAAACGCCTGGCAGGAATTTACCGGCAATAAATATTTGCCCGCGGCCGCGTTTCCGGATTGTGCTCCCGAAACAACGGGATTTTTGTTTTTTACATTTATTGTTTGATCCCGTCTTTAGTTGATTTTTTTTCCTGCCGGGATCTGAAAAAAGGATTTGTTTTTTTGCGAGAATATTTGACGGGAGAGACGCTTTTTTATAGAGTCTCAAAATTTCAAGTTCAGTCAATTTTAATATAGGTTTCAATGTCCATTTCTATAACGAGATTCTTCCGTACTTGATTTTTTTTTTGAGTTGGGGAATTTCGTTAGGTTTTGTTGCTACAAAAATTGTATAAATTTAGACAATTGTTGACTTTAGTCCATGCTGGTTTGAAGAATATGTCGGCGATAAATTCGGTTTTATTTGTACCTAAAATGAAAAAGCTCCTGAAACAAAGGGATTTTTGTTTTTTACATTTATTGTTTGATCCCGTCTTTAGTTTTTTCTTGCTGGGATCTGAAAAAAGATTATTATTTTTTTGCGAGAATATTTGACGGGAGAGACGCTTTTTATATTGAGTCTCAAAATTTCAAGTTCAGTCAATTTTAATATAGGTTTCAATGTCCATTTCTTTAACGAGATTCTTCCGTATTTGAATTTTGCTGCGGGTTCTGGAATTTATTTTTTTGAGTTGGGGAATTTTCTTTAGGTTTTGTTGCTACAAAAATTGTATAAATTAAAAAAAAAATTGTGGAGATGGTTTGAAGAATATATCGGCAAGAAATTGGGTTTTATTTGTAGCTAAAATGAAAAAGCTCCCGAAACAAAGGGATTTTTGTTTTTACATTTATTGTTTTATCCCGTCTTTAGTTTTTTTTCCTGCGGGGATCTGAAAAAGGATTACTGTATTATTTTTTTGCGAGAATATTTGACGGGAGAGACGCTTTTTATATTGAGTCTCAAAATTTCAAGTTCAGTCAATTCTATAGTACAGGTTTCAATGTACAGTACATTTATATAAAGAGATTCTTCCGTACTTGAATTTTGCTGCGGGTTCTGGAATTTATTTTTTTGAGTTGGGGAATTTCGTTAGGTTTTGTTTCTACAAAAATTGTATAATATGAAAGAAAACTGTGGAGTTTGGTTTGAAGAATATATTGGCAAGAAATTCGGTTTTATTTGTAGCTAATGAGAAAAATGTGTAAAATGTGTACATTTTAACTAATGTGTAAAATGAGAAAAAAAAACAGGGAAAATCGGCGCAAAAAAAAAAAGCAGCTCCGACTGATATTTTTGCAAAAACATTTCCCATTTTCTGTACTTATCGGCATATGTTGAATACTGTACTTATCGGCATATGTTTGAATTGATGATCTTGCAAACCAGAAATTTGTGTCACTTTAAAATTATTCCAACTGTTTGAAAATTTTGTTGGGGGAAACTGACGATGAAAACCATCATCGCAAGACTCGCGAAAAGTTTTCAATGCAAATGCTTCGTCCATTTTTCATTCTCTCGATTCATTTATTTATTTTTTTCACTTATATTATTTGCAGGATTATTTCACACTCAAGACGGGTTGGCAACAGTTGATGGAAGCAATAAATTTCACGGGGTTTCCAATTTGCTGCATGAAACTTGGAGTCCCAGTGCGGCTTCTAATCTAGGATGGACGACTACTATGACGTCCATGACCCATAACCAGGTTAGTATCAAGCATTTGCTTTTTGATCGTCTTATATGAATATGCGAAAATTTTGAGCATGCGGAGTTTGAAGCGACATCTACGCGGTCCGAAGAAAACTTTGGAGCGCTCGTTCAATTGAACCCCCACGCGCTGCATCCGTTATTTTTTCGTCTGTTCTATTATTTTGTCGGTGTAACTGGTACAATGCTACAAAAAATAAAACACATGTGAAGAGATTTTTTTTTAATTATAATAATTGAAAGAAGACTGGATGAGCTCAACATGAACTTTTTGGGGTAATCGTCACCTGCTCGAGCGAAAGTCGAGCAATTTCAAGGCTTTTCCATGCGGTGGATTTCATTTTTTTTTTTTATCATTTATATTCAAACGCAAATTCTGAAGGACATACTGTGTTCCACTTTTGGATCCAGAGCACGGAAGATTGGAACCAAATAATTATAGTAGATTAAAAAATTAATCTAAAGATTGGAACCAAATAATTATAGTAGATTTAAAAATTAATCTAAAAAACCATGTTTTCAAAAAGCAAAAAATAACCTTAAATGTGGTGTGCATCTATTTCATTTGTATTTCACTTCTTCCCAACAATCTCCATGCGCACCACGTTTAAGGTTATTTTTTGCTTTTTGAAAACTTGGTTTTTTAGATTAATTTTTTAATCTACTATAATTATTTTATTCTTTTTAAAAAATATTCTTAAAATTTATTTTTTCACAAAAGATTGCATTGTCATCAGTTTCTAGGCTATCCTGAAAGTTTCAGCTTGATAGCTAGTCGGGAAGTGAGTNAAATCTTGGCCCGTTGCGGAATTCTAAGCGCGTGGAATTGTGTAAAAATTTCCCTGCATTCCGATCTAGTTTTCGTCGTGCTTCTTTTCCTCGTTTGCACTTGTATAAACGAATAAAAATGTGCGTAGGTTTTTGTTTTTTATGGGTTATCGTTGTGTAGGTGCTTTTATTTCATTTCATTTTATTGTTCTTTCCTCATCCGGTTTTTATAAAAAAAAAATTCAGAAACGCCTGGCAGGAATTTACCGGCAATAAATATTTGCCCGCGGCCGCGTTTCCGGATTGTGCTCCCGAAACAACGGGATTTTTGTTTTTACATTTATTGTTTGATCCCGTCTTTAGTTGATTTTTTTTCCTGCCGGGATCTGAAAAAAGGATTTGTTTTTTTGCGAGAATATTTGACGGGAGAAACGCTTTTTATAGAGTCTCAAAATTTCAAGTTCAGTCAATTTTAATTTAGGTTTCAATGTCCATTTCGATGACGATCGAGATTCTTCCGTATTTGAATTTCGCTGCGGGTTCTGGAATTTATTTTTTTGAGTTGGGGAATTTCGTTAGGTTTTGTTTCTACAAAAATTGTATAAATTAAAAGAAAATTGTGGAGATGGTTTGAAGAATATATCGGCAAGAAATTCGGTTTTATTTGTAGCTAAAATGAAAAAGCTCACGAAACAAAGGGATTTTTGTTTTTACATTTATTGTTTTATCCCGTCTTTAGATGTTTTTTTTTCCTGCGGGGATCTGAAAAAGGATTATTATTTTTTTGCGAGAATATTTGACGGGAGAGACGCTTTTTATAGAGTCTCGAAATTGCAAGTTCAGTCAATTTTAATATAGGTTTCAATGTCCATTTCGATAACGAGATTTTTCCGTATTTGAATTTTGCTGCAGGTTCTGGACTTCATTTTTTTGAGTCGGGGAAGTTCGTTAGGTTTTGTTTTTACAAAAATTGTATAAATTAAAAGAAAATTGTGGAGTTCGGTCCGTGGTTTGAAGAATACTGTATATCGGCAAGAAATTCGGTTTTATTCGTAGCTAAAATGAAAAAGCTCCCGAAACAAAGGGATTTTTGTTTTTTACATTTATTGTTTTATCCCGTCTTTAGTTTTTTTTTCCTGCGGGGATCTGAAAAAGGATTTTTTTTTTGCGTGAGAGCCGGTTTTATAAAGTCTCAAAATTTCAAGTTCAGTCAATTCTATAGTACAGGTTTCAATGTACAGTACATTTATATAACGAGATTCTTCCGTACTTGAATTTTGCTGCGGGTTCTGGAATTTATTTTTTTGAGTTGGGGAATTTCGTTAGGTTTTGTTTCTACAAAAATTGTATAATTTGAAAGAAAACTGTGGAGTTTGGTTTGAAGAATATATCGGCAAGAAATTCGGTTTTATTTGTAGCTAAAATGAGAAGAAAAAAAAAACCAGGGAAAATCGGCGCAAAAAAAAATGCAGCTCCGACGGATATTTTTGCAAAAAAATTTCCCATTTTCCTTCAATACTGTACTTCTGGCATGTGTTTGAATTGATGATCCTGCAAACCAAAAAGTTATGTCACTTTAAAGGTATTCCAATTGTTTGAAAATTTTGTTGGGGGAAACTGACGTGAAAAGTTTTGTATGCAAATGCTTCGTCCATTTTTCATTCTCTCGATCCATTTATTTATTTTTTCACTTATATTATTTGCAGGATTGTTTCACACTCAAGACGGGTTGGCAACAGTTGATGGAAGCAATAAATTTCACGGGGTTTCCAATTTGCTGCATGAAACTTGGAGTCCCAGTGCGGCTTCTAATCTAGGATGGACGACAACTATGACATCCATGACCCATAACCAGGTTAGTATCAAGCATTTGCTTTTTGATCGTCTTATATGAATATGCGAAAATGTTGAGCATGCGGAGTTTGCAGCGACATCTACGTGGTCCGAAGAAAACTTTGAAACGCTCGTTCAATTGAACCCCCACGCGCTGCATCCGTTATTCATTATTTTTTCTGTTCTGTGATTTTGTTGGTGTAACTGATGCAATGATAAAAAAATATACAAGTGAAGAGAATTTAAAAAATATACAATTTTTGAAATATTGATGAGCTCAACATAAACTTTTCGCGGTAATCGTCACTTTCTCTAGCGAAAGTCGAGAAATTTCAAGGCTTTTCCATGCGATGGATTTCATTTATATTCAAACGCAAATTCTGAAGGAACATACTGTGTTCCACTTTTTGATCCAGAGCACGGAAGATTTAAACCAAAAAACGCTGCATCCTTCAAAACTGGATGATTTTCGAAAACAAAACATTTTTGTTTTTTTTTAATCGTGGAGAAAAGGTTTGTTGGCGCGTTTCCGCAGACTTTTGAAAATGCCCTTGGGCTCAGTGTCCCATGCAGAGAAAATTGTAGTTTGTCGCTGATTCTTTCGGATCTTGTAACTCGAAAAAAAAATATATAACTATTGAATAAGAAAATATTCTGAAAGAGAAATAATAAATGTAAGCATGCACGACGTGGTCGCACACGCGTAACCGAGCCTGCCGTGTCACAACTGGGCGAGAAAATCGACACCTTTTTCTTCTCCCTCTAGTAGTACAGAAATCGGAACTTTCAGTCTTCTTTTTTTTATAAATCTAATCTTCTCGCAATTTTTAAGATTCGTTGTAGGTTATCCTTGGCTCGGGGAGAGATTAAATATATAAAAAAAAAAGACGTGAGAGGAAGAGACGAGGAAGCGAATGAATGGTTGAATATTTTCGCCTTGCGCCTTCGTGGATCATGGCTGTTATTCCTCGCTTTTGACCTTTTTTTGTTTTTGTTTTCCTCACTGTATTTTCTTGAAATACACATCTACGAAAAGGATTATATTTTGATGAACTATCCACAAAAAAAAAAGTATGTATTTTATTTCCGTCGGGGTTTTTTGAAAGAAGTCGTATAAATGTGGGTCAAGAATATGATGTGGGTGTCGAAGCGTAGGTGAATGTTTATTTTAAGGTGCGACGAAAGACACGATTTTCTGGGGTTAGCATGATCTAAAAAAGAATGAGTTACGAAATGTTCGCCATTTTTTCTTCATTTTAGTAACTTAGATTCCAGGTGCTGATTATAGATTAAAAGTACTGCATCACGGAGTAATTTTAAGATTTTTAACTGAAAAAAGATCGGGAGTTGAATAATTTGATGGATTATTTTTCTACGGTTTTAATCTTGTTTGTCTTTTTTGTTCGGAGAAAAAATATAATGTATGTAAATATATTAAGCGAATGTTAATTTTAAGGTGCGACGAAGATAATCTGACGATTTCGTGGGGTTAACATCGTCTGGAAAAAGATTTACGAAATATTCGCCACGTTTCGTTTATTTTTTTTTCGAAAGATCGGCAGTTGAATAATTTGATGGAGTATTTTTCTGCGGTTTAAATCTTGTTTGTCTTTATTTTCGGAGATTATAAATATATTAAGCGAATGTTAATTTCGAGGTTCGACGGAAGAGATCTGATGATTTTGTGGGGTTAACATCGTCTGAAAAAAAATAGTTCGCCATTTTTCTTAATTTTTTATAAAGAAAATTTCATATGCCGATTATATATAGAAAACATCACGAAGTCCTGCAGAACCTTGAAGATTTTTGCCAGAAAAAAATATTCTATGCATAACTTTGTTAAATAATAATGGATTATTTTTCTGCGGCTTTAATACTTTTTTAAAGAATTTTTTGTGTGACTCTTTTGTCTTGAAACAATTTTGTTTTGTCTTTTTTTTGCAGGTGTCCCCTTGTGGACCTATTTCATCGCCAATACCTTATCATCAGTGGCAGGGGCTCGATATGACTCCACTTGCGATCTCCACACCACCACCAAGCACCATTTCTGGTAATTATACACCTTTGAGTGGTACTGCAGTGGGTTCCGCTTATAACGAAAGACCCGTTCAGCGAAAATAACGCATTACAAAATGTATTCTGGAAGGGGGGAGTTTACAAGAGAAACATACAATTTTTGAAGGCTAAGAAGAACATTGCGAAATAAGTTGTATAGTTAAATAATTGAATTAAATGTTATTTTTTCATTACAACATTTGTGCAAAACAAAAGTATCATCCTGGAATGAAATAATTATTTGTCATGCAATTGTGTCAGTTTGCATTTCAAACCCAAAAATGTTTGAAAATGACTTGTTGAATCATTCACAGTTTTAATGTATGTTAAAACTTTGTATGACTCCCTGAAATGGATCAAGATTTCAAAATTTGTTATTCAGGAAAGATGTGTACAGTGAGACCCCAAGATGCGGACGTAATTGGTGCATCAAGAGTGTCCCTAAGTTGAAATGTCCCTGAGTCAAGTCTCATTTTCCCTTAGACTTCCATTATATAATTTTTAATTGGTGTTTCATGTACTGTACAAAATACTCAGCATAATTCCATGAAAATAAAAATTGTCTCCCAATTTAAACTGATTCCAATCCATATATTTCAACACAATATGGGCATTTGGGGAATTTAATACTGATACCTCTGTACAGTACATAGAAATATTGGCATTCTCTGTAAAAAAAAAATAACATTCAAGTTAAAAAAGAGAGAAGGAAGTCCCCTCTATGCTGGAGGTAATTTTTTTAAATTAGCTAAATGGATGGTAAATTGGTGAGAGAAAATCTATGCTGGAGGTAATTTTTTTAAATTTGCTAAATGGATGGTAAATTGGTGAGAGAAATGCCCAAGAACTTTTCTCACATCAATTTCATGGTTGGAAATATCTGTTTCTTGTAATTTGGCCTGAAATGTATTTACAATTTTATAACAAAATCTCCCTATGTTGAGTCAGTGTCCTCACGTCACGCCTTTTTTTATTAATTTTGTATGAGAAAATAAGTGTCCCTATGTCGAATTGTCCGCAGGTCAAGGTGTCCGCACGTGGGGGTCTCACTTGTATTTCAAAAGAACATGTTTGCTCAATTAAACTCACACTGGATCAAATTATAGTCTTTTTTATGATGTGAGAACTATATACCCAACGTTTTGCTGCAAATGATGATTGTACGGAAAATAGAGGTGGTATACCTTGCAAATTTGGGTCGAATTTCAAAAAATTGTTCACTCTGCTATTAAAAAAAATAGAAATAAAAAATCAAGAAAAAAGGGGTTTTTCTTGAGGTTTCAAAGTAAAAAGGACTCAACACTGAATTAATTTAGCCTTTTCAGGGACGTCTCCCTATTGAGGACAGAAGTCTCCAATATAATTTAGTGTCAAGTGTTTGTTGGATAAATGAAACAAGTTAATCAGTCAGGGACAGGACCGGGATTCCTTTGAGGAAATCCTAGTTTAAGAGTAAGATATATTTTGGGAATAAGCAAATGAATGAATAACAACTCAACAAGCTCAGGATTGAATAACTTGGAATAAACGCACAGCTGAATCCCAACTGATCTAATGAGAGAGTATGAGGATGCGGCTTATATAATATTCTCAATAAACAACCTTCATAAGGTTTTACTATTCTGATGAAGACAAGAAAAAGTAATTGTCGAGGATGCTAAGGAGTAATTGTCGAGGATGCTAAAGTGCCACGCACATCCTTGACATTGTAACAGTTACCAGGGTGTGCCTGGCACTGCAATTTTGAGGAGGGGAGGATATTTCTAAAAACTTGTAGGTATTATATTGTACGTTAGCATGCATGCCCAACACTCCCAAAATTTGCATATATTTGCGCAACCTAATTCAGATAAATATGACGCACAAAAATTCTACAGGTAGACAAACAAATTAATTTTCAAAAACTGTATCTTTGACGCAAGATATAAAAATCAGAATATGCTGACAAATCAGACAAAGACGGGTTTTTAAAATTGAGATTTCGAATTAGAACACGAAGAAAAGAACCAAAACAAAAATTAATTTGTCTTAGGATTCTTTGTCAATTACAGTGAGACCCCCACATGCGGACGCCTCAACCTGCAGATGATTCGACCTAGGGACACTTATTTTATCATTAAAAAATCACAAAAATGTCCCAACATGAGGACATTGACTCGACATAGGGACATTTTTCGATAAAATTGCAAATAAATTTCAGGCAAAATTACAAGAAACAGATGTTTCCAACCCTAAAATTCATGTAAGAAAAGTTCTTGGGCATTTCTCTCCCCAATTTACCATCTATTTAGCTAATTTAAAATAATTACCTCCAGTATAGAGGGAATTCCTTCTCTCTTTTTCACTTGAATTTTATTTTTACCAAAAATGCCAACACTTCTATGTATGTACTGAACAGATGAGGTATCAGTATTCAATTCCCCAAATGTTCATAGTGTGTTGAAATACATTGATTGAATCAGTTTAAATTGGGCGACAATTTTTATTTTCATGGAATTAGGGTGAGTATTTTGTACATGAAACACCAATTAAAAATATATAATGTAAGTCTAAGGGAAAATGATACTCGACTTGGGGACATTTTGACTTAGGGACACTCTTGATGCACCAATAGCTCAATTAAACTCACACTGGATCAAATTATAGTCTTTTTTATGATGTGAGAACTATATACCCAACGTTTTGCTGCAAATGATGATTGTACGGAAAATAGAGGTGGTATACCTTGCAAATTTGGGTCAAATTTCAAAAAATTGTTCACTCCGCTATTAAAAAAAATAGAAATAAAAAATCAAGAAAAAAGGGGTTTTTCTTGAGGTTTTGAAGTAAAAAGGACTCAACACTGAATTAATTTAGCCTTTTCAGGGATGTCTCCCTATTGAGGACAGAAGTCTCCAATATAATTTAGTGTCAAGTGTTTGTTGGATAAATGAAACAAGTTAATCAGTCCGGGACAGGACCAGGATTCCTTTGAGGAAATCCTAGTTTGAGTAAGATATATTTCAGGAATAAGCAAATAAATGAATAACAACTCAACAAGCTCAGGATTGAATAACTTGGAATAAACGCACAGCTGAATCGCAACTGATCTAATGAGAGAGTATGAGGATGCGGCTTATATAATATTCTCAATAAACAACCTTCATAAGGTTTTACTATTCCCATGAAGACAAAAAGTAATTGTTGAGGATGCTAAGGAGTAATCGTCAAGGATGCTAAGGTGCCACACACATCCTTGACATCATAACAGTTACCAGGGTGTGCCTGGCACTGCGATTTTGAGGAGGGGAGGATATTTCTAAAAACTTCTAGGTATTATATTGTACATTAGCGTGCATGCCCAACACTCCCAAAATTTGCATATATTTGCGCCACCTAATTTGGATAAATATGACGCAAAAAAATTCTACAGGTAGACAAACGAATTAATTTTCAAGAACTGTATCTTTGACGCAAGATATAAAAATCAGAATATGCTGACAAATCAGACAAAGACGGGTTTTTTAAATTGAGATTTCGAATTAGAACACGAAGAAAAGAACCAAAACCAAAATTAATTTGTCTTAGGATTCTTTGTCAATTATATCTTTGACGCAAGATATAAAAATCAGAATATGCTGACAAATCAGACAAAGACGGGTTTTTTAAATTGAGATTTCGAATTAGAACACGAAGAAAAGAACCAAAACCAAAATTAATTTGTCTATTAGTAATAAAATGCTTCGAAATTTTTTTTTTTTTTTTTTGCATTTATAAACAGGTCTGCAGTCTTTTGCGCCGGCTCTAGTGACATCTGTCGGATCAGCGACGCACCACGTGATTGGCTACCAGCCAGCAGCAGCCGGAACTGGACTCAAGCCACCCGAGTCCCCCATGTACACTTCCGGCTCGTCCCCGGAACCCTTCCCCGCTGCCCCGCCCATGGACGACGTGCCCCAACAACAACAACAACAACAACTGACCCATTTGCAAACAACGTCGCCGTTTGCTGCGACGGACGGTGATTACAGCACGTCTGCCGCCGGCGGTGATAATGGCGCCAGAGAGTCGCCGACGTTTGGTCGCGGGTCGCCGACTGTGGCGCCGGTGGCGCCTGACCAACAGCACCACCACCACCAGCAGCAGCAGCAGCAGAGGGACCACTGGAGCCCCATCAGCCCCCCCGGGTACTCTGTGTGAAAAGGGGAAATGAATGATTTTAAACAGAGCGAAAGACGAGGAGCACAGGGAAATGTTTTTCTCCCCCTTTTTTGCCTTGCCGATGAAAGAGAGTGTGCGTGAGTGGAAACATTCTTTCTGTTTCTGTTTGTTTTTTGAAAATGTGTCTTTATTTTTGGGTTACATCCTATAGATGTTATGAAAATTTGCAAAAACAAAAACAAAAAATTCGTTGATAAATTGGCAAAAATGTACGCGGTGGACCAGAGTTGGGAAAACTTTTTCGAACTGATCCTCCCCACAAGTCGATAAGAAAAGGCAGAAAACTTGTTTTGATTTTGCAGAATTTGAGAATTTTTTTACTGAAAGAATAATTTAGCTTGATTGGTGTCGATTGAATTTATTTATAAACATTGTTTTTTTTCTAAGTAAAGAACTGCCCTATTTAAAATTCCCGGTTTATCCCTGGCCTATATTCCATAAAAGTTGAATGCGTTTTAAGCCTCCTGAACTCAAAACTTTGTTATTTTTTTTATCTAATCTTCCATAGTTTATAAATTTTCGTAAAGCTTTTTATTCTATAAAACTCGGGATAAATTTTTGAACAAAACTTATTCAAATTTGTGTCATAATTATTTTCCACGAGGGAAAACATCTACGAATGATGATAAACTGTCCAAGTTTTTAACTTTGATCATTTTTTCAGCGTATGAGAGACTCTCTAACAAGTCTAATGTTTCCGATTTTTCCAAACTGCATTCGTTGAAGTTTTTATCCTTTCAATTTGGGTCTAAATTTTTGAAGAAAAACTATTAAATTTGTGTCATAATTTTTTTTTTCACGAGGGAAAATATCTACGAATGGTAAACTGTCCTAATTTTAAACTTTGATAATTTTTTTTCAGCAGATGAGAGACCCTCTAACTCAAAACTTTTTTTGGTTTTCCAATCCGCATTTTTTTTTTACATTTTCATTGCCCATATGCTTTCAATTTGGGGATAAATTTTTGAAGAAAAAATATTAAAATTTGTATCATAATTTTTTTTCCACGAGGGAAATACATCTTCGAATGATAAACTGTCTAAGTTTTAAACTTTGATCATTTTTTTTCAGCAGATGAGAGACCCTCAAACTCAAAACCTTTTTTTTATTTTCCAATCTGCAAGTTTTTTCAAATTTTCATTGCCCTTATGCTTAGAATTTGGGACTAAATTTTTGAAGAAAAAATATAAAATTTGTATCATAATTATTTTTTTCAAAGAGGGAAAAAATCTACGAATGATAAAACGGTCCAAGTTTTAAACTTTGATAATTTTTTTCAACAGATGAAAGACCCTCTAACTCAAAACTTTTTTTTTCAATCTGCATTTTTTGACATTTTCATTGCCCGTATATGCTTTCAGTTTTTGGGACTAAATTTTTGAAGAAAAAATATTAAAATTTGTATCATAAATTCTTTCCATGCGGAAAAACATGTACAAATGATATGAACTGTCGAAGTTTTTAAGCTTGAATAATTTTTCCAGCAGATGAGAGACAGACTTGGGAAAGATTGTTATTGTGCCCGAAGGTCGTTATTCTCAAACCTGTTCAGATTCTTGTTCCTGCCTCTCTTAAAATGACTATTATTTTTTTTTTTATTTTACTGCCAAATTAAAAATTAGCGATCAGCAGGCTGCAATAAGTTGCCCAACTCTGCTTCAGGCGTGACCGATCATGCAATAAAATCTGCGCATGACTTATTGTAGTCGTTTTTTTATTTTAATTTGCTCAATCGCTTTTTTTTACAATCGGTTAATGATAAGGTACAGTTATTTTCGTGAAAAAATTATGGGTTCAAACCCCCGGAAACCTTCTTCCACCGAAAAATAAAATAAAACCGAATGCTACTCTAGTTTTTTTTTTCAAGTGTCGTAAATTTTACTGTGTGCGCAATTCAATAAGTTCAAATTAATTTAATTCTTCAAGTTTCCTTCTGAAATATTCTGATTAAGTTTTGCTATTTTTTTCAGAGAACATTTGTCCAGTTTTTCAGAGAGCTAGTATCTCAGCATAAAAGTCGAAATCCGTTTTATTTTCTCTTCTCGGATTTTCTGACTGAAATTCTGAATTTTTTTTCAGTTCCGACACTGCTTTAAAATTGGCACTTCAAGCTGTTTTTTTTAAGTTGACGCGTAAATTTGCAATAAATTTATAGAGTTTTTAGTGAAACAGAATTTCTTGTGGTCAACTGAATGCTTAAGATTTCAGTTTGCCGGAATTTTTAAAATATTGCACATCATTCAAGTTTGAAAGCTTCTTCTTTGAACTGAGTTGAAAATTAGCGCAAATTTATATTTCCTAGAAAAGAAAACGTGCAAATCGGTGGTTGAAGGTTTCTATACGGAAAAAAACGCCGTTGCCTATAAATTTACAAGACACTGAACTTTCATAATTTAATTTCTAAATTTATAAATGGATTACTATTATGTCAGTGAAAATGAAACAGTTTGTTTGTACAAAATAAATTCCGGTCGCAGTCGTCAGTGGATTAATTTCTTTATTCGTTTACAATTTTCTCGAATGACAAGAAAAATAAGAAAAGAAAAGAAAACACACTTGAATGACGCGTTTGTTTGTAAGAGAGTGATGAGTGAATGAATGACACACAGAGCTTGTGAAGTGTCGTAGAAGTGAAATGCAAAATTTTGTTTGTTTGTTCGTTTGGGATCAGAGAAAATTAATCCTCGAAATTATTTCTAGTCGAAGCCTCTTTTTTTTTTTTTTNAGCAGAGGGACCACTGGAGCCCCATCAGCCCCCCCGGGTACTCTGTGTGAAAAGGGGAAATGAATGATTTTAAACAGAGCGAAAGACGAGGAGCACAGGGAAATGTTTTTCTCCCCCTTTTTTGCCTTGCCGAAAGAGAGAGTGTGCGTGAGTGGAAACATTCTTTCTGTTTTTGTTTGTTTTTTGAAAATGTGTCTTTATTTTTGGGTTACATCCTATAGATGTTATGAAAATTTGCAAAAACAAAAACAAAAAATTCGTTGATAAATTGGCAAAAATGCAAGCTGTGGACCAGAGTTGGGACAACTTTCTGAAACTGATTCCTCCCCCCAAAATCGATAAGAAAAGGCAGAAAACTTATTTTGATTTTGCAGAATTTGAGAATTTTTTTTCTGAAAGAATAATTAAGCTTGATTGGTGTCGATTGAATTTATTTATAGACATTGTTTTTTTTCTAAGTAAAGAACTGCCCTATTTAAAATTCCCGGTTTATCCCTGGCCTATATTCCATAAAAGTTGAATGCGTTTTAAGCCTCCTGAACTCAAAACTTTGTTATTTTTTATGTAATCTTCCATAGTTTATAAATTTCCGTATAGCTTTTTATGCTGTAAAACTCGGGATAAATTGTTGAACGAAACGTATTCAAATATGTGTAATAATTATTTTCCACGAGGGAAAACATCTACGAATGATAAACTGTCTAAGTTTTTAAACTTTGATCATTTTTTTCAGCAGATAAGAGACCCTCAAACTCAAAACTTTTTTTGTTGCTTTTTACAATCTGCATTTGTTGACATTTTCATTGCCCGTATGCTTTCAATTTGGGGCTAAATTTTTGAAGAAAAAATATTAAAACTTGTATCATAATTTTTTTCCACGAGGGAAAACTTCTACGAATGGTAAAAGGTCAAAATTTAAAAACTTTGATCATTTTTTTCAGCAGATAAGAGACCCTCAAACTCAAAACTTTTTTTTTGCTTTTCCAATCAGCATTTTGTTTTTACATTTTCATTGCTCGTATGATTTCAATTTGGGGCTAAATTTTTGAAGAAAAAATATTGAAATTTGTATCATAATTTTTTTTCCACGAGGGAAAACATCTACGAATGATAAACTGTCCAAGTTTTTAAACTTTGATAATTTTTTTCAGCGGATGAAAGACCCTCTAACTCAAAACTTTTTTTTTCAATCTGCATTTTTTGACATTTTCATTGCCCGTATATGCTTTCAATTTTTGGGGCTAAATTTTTGAAGAAAAAATATTAAAATTTGTATCATAAATTCTTTCCATGCGGAAAAACAGGTACAAATGATGAACTGTCCAAGTTTTAAACTTTAATCATTTTTTCAGCAGATTAGAGAGACTTGGGAAAGATTGTTATTGTGCCCGAAGGTCGTTATTCTCAAACCTGTTCAGATTCTTGTTCCTGCCTCTCTTAAAATGACTATTATTTTTTTATTTATTTTACTGCCAAATTAAAAATTAGCGATCAGCAGGCTGCAATAAGTTGCCCAACTCTGCTTCAGGCGTGACCGATCATGCAATAAAATCTGCGCATGACTTATTGTAGTCGTTTTTTTATTTTAATTTGCTCAATCGCTTTTTTTTACAATCGGTTAATGATAAGGTACAGTTATTTTCGTGAAAAAATTATGGGTTCAAACCCCCGGAAACCTTCTTCCACCGAAAAATAAAATAAAACCGAATGCTACTCTAGTTTTTTTTTTCAAGTGTCGTAAATTTTACTGTGTGCGCAATTCAATAAGTTCAAATTAATTTAATTCTTCAAGTTTCCTTCTGAAATATTCTGATTAAGTTTTGCTATTTTTTTCAGAGAACATTTGTCCAGTTTTTCAGAGAGCTTGTCTCAACATAAAAGTCGAAATCCGTTTTTTTTTTCTTTTTTAAAATTTCCTGACTGAAATTCTGAATTTTTTTTCAGTTCCGACACTGCTATAAAATTGGCACTTCAAGTTTTGTTGACGCGTAAATTTGCAATACATTTTTAGAGCTTTTATTTCCGTTTTTAGTGAAGCATGTGCGACTTTCTTGTGGTGAACTGAATGCTTCAGATTTCAGTTTGCCAGAATTTTTCAAATATTCATATCATTCAAGTTTGAAAGCTTCTTCTTTGAACTGTGTTGAATATTAGCGCAAATTTATATTTCCTAGAAAAGAAAACGTGCAAATCGGTGGTTGAAGGTTTCTCGGCGTTGCCTATAAATTTACAAGACACTGAACTTTCATAATTTAATTTCTAAATTTATAAATGGATTACTATTATGTCAGTGAAAATGAAACAGGTGTTTGTACAAAATAAATTCCGGTCGCAGTCGTCAGCGGATTAATTTCTTCGTTTACAATTTTCTCGAATGACAAGAAAAAGAAGAAAATAAAAGAAAACACACTTGAATGACGCGTTTGTTTGTAAGAGAGACTCACTTACTTACTGTGTGTCTCGAACACTTCACAGCATCTTCACTTTACGTTTTAAAACAAACAAACAAGCAAACCCTAGTCTCTTTTAATTAGGAGCTTTAATAAAGATCAGCTTCGGAGAAAATTTTTTGTATGCTAATTTTATTCATTTTTCTTCTTCTCCCGGTCGTTGATTATCTTTAGCAGGATGTAAGAAAACGAGGAGTTTATGCAGTGCCCGAGGCAGGTTGGGAATAAGGGTTTTTTTTTTGCGTGCAAAAAAAAAAAAAGAAAATAGCGCAAGAGAAATATGAAGAGGGGGGGGGGGAAATAAAAGCGACCCTCGGGATTTCGAAGGTGACGAAATTCCTTTCCCAGCGTGCACAAATCCCGAGCTCTCCGGACCCGCGCTTTCCGGAAACGGCGTGCCAATAAACCCCCCTGAAGACACACACACACACACACACACATCCACATTGACCCAGGGTGGGGCTTTCAGGAAATTTCGACACTTTTTTTTTCCCCGCTTGGGACTTATCACTTGCCTATTCTATCGCTTTTGTCCCTGTCCAAAAAAAATTTTTTTGGGGATTTTTCGCTTTTGTCAAACTTGAACTCGGTTTTATTTTTGCGTGCCAATAATGTCTCGTGTGATTCCCTGTTCTGCGCTGATTCTTATTGGGATTTTTTTGCTGCTCAACAGCAGTTTCAAGCGCTGACTTTTTTTTTTTTTTTTTGCTAGGGTTTTTGTCAATTCTGTAAATTAGGAAACGTTCATTTATACACACTGAAATAATTATTCTAATGAATATAATCATTCTGAAATGAATCTATTTTTTTTAGACAAGGAATATAATTTTTTTTCAGCTGCTGATGACAGCGTTTTATCATCATGACGAAGCTCTGTTTCTCAAATCTGCTGATTTGCGCCAAATCATCCAAACATCTGAGTTCATGATATTATTTAAATTCAGTGTGATGAAATAATTAGCATACTTTTTTAGGTAATTTGGCTGTTTTTGGTAATTTACAGGGCATTAGGACTGTGACTGGTGTTAGTCTTTTTTTATAGGTGCAGTATATTCATTTCATGACTGGCAGGAATTTTAAAAATTCCTAAATGCTAATTGAGTTGCTCTTGAATCAACAACTCAATTAGCATTTTTGAAATTCCTGCCAGTCATGAAAAAAGTAACAGAAGGGTCCTTATTCTAATATAAAATTTTACTTTTAGGGAAGAACAATTTCAAAGGCCTCATCTTATTCCAACCCCTAATTATTATGCTGTACTGTATATGCAAAATTATAATTTTTTTTGTGACATGCAATGAGTCTTTATAAATTCAAGAGTAACTGCAGTCAGAGTCCTGAATTAACCCCAATGTCCAGATTTACTCAAGGGGACAAACCATTAAAGTAGCCTAATCTTCTTACCTTTAACTAATCTTTGCAGGTTTTTAGCTTTTATTTTTTACATTGAATCAATCTTCATACATGTACAAAAGGAACAGCAGTCAGAGGCTTAACCTCATGTATCCAATTTTACTTAGTTAAAAAGAAATTTGTCAGAAGCATCATCTTCTAAGAACATCATATGCAGGATTTTGAATCATTCTTTAGAAAAGTATCAGCAGTCAGAGTCCCAACTCCCAATAATATCCAAGTTTAATCAGTGAAAAACAATTTCAGTAGCCTCATCTTCTAATTAACCCCTTACTATTTTATGCAGGATTTTAAAAAATTTATTTTCACCTGGAATCAGTCTTTATAAATAATGTATATATACCCTGGTGCTTATTTGGTAAATCAACTTGATCATGCAGTTTTTTCCACACACACAAAAAAAAAAACTCCTGGATGTGCCCCAGCTGCAGCAACAGCCATGGCACCTCACTGGTACGAGGCAAGACCACACACACACTACACTACACTACACACTCTACTATACACTCACTTAACCACAAAAAAGAGCAAAAAAAGAGAGGGGGGCGGTGAAGAGAGGAAATTGGGACCAAGGCAGCAGCAGCAGCAGCAGCAAAGGCAACCTTTTTTTTTTTTTTGCAAAAGGCAAACGTGTCCGGGCGGAAAAGGACCCCGGAGGAGGAGGAGGAGGAGGAGGAGGGGAATCGACCGGCGGGATTTTCGCACAGGCGCGACATACCTAGCAAGTTATTGTCACTTTCCGCGGGTCCTTAACGATACCTCCACAGCCAGTGAGTCCGGGTCTTCCCTATATATATATTTATATATATTTATATATACATATATATATATATACCGTATATATATATATATATTATACTGTACTTTTCAACTCGCGTCTAGTTCTTTGGCCTTTTGTTTCAATCCTTTTCCTCTCTCTCTCTCTCTCTCTCTCTCTCTCTCTCTCTCTTCACCCCCTCCCTTTTTTTTATAAATAAATATACGGTATATATATATACTATTTGTTTGAAGATTGTCTTGAGTAAATCAAATGAAAGTAATTTGCTCTAATTACTTTGACATATATATATATATATATACTGTATATATATATACAGTATTTATATATGATAAAAATGTGAGTCTTATTCCTGGTTTTGAATTACAGTGCATAGTTTTATTTGTGTGCCACCAGCTCAGTTTAGTTTTGGTTGCAATAAGCATTGCCAACTACTGTAATGTACAGTAACATCAAATTACAATAACCAACTTTTGGGGACTTCATAAAAAGATTGTTGCATTGAATAATAATGAGATAATAATTTGCTGTAATGAGATTTAAAAAAAATTAATGCCTGAGTTTTTGGTGAATAAGATATGCTTATCTATATAACATCACCAAAAAAAAAAAAGAAATAATACACCACCAGACTAAACTACTGTACTACTACACCAGCCCTAAGCCAGGTGTAGTGGACAGGTCTTTTGCTATGCTTCCTTACTATACCCAACTGCTGGGTTGAGAAAAAAGTTTTTTTTTTTTTACTTTTTCTGCACACTTGCTTGCCTTTTTCCTCAGCCCAGGCGGGTACAGCAGAAAAGGTTGGGTATAACTAGGTATGTGTAGCAAATGCATATGCATATCTGTTACATAAAATCCCTGCTTGTAGCAAATTATTTGCTAGGTAAGCAAGTACAGTACTGTATTCACTTGATCATACCATGCACCTTAAGTAAGACTTTCAGCATGGTTTGTCAGTAATATTTTTTGGTGAAAAACTCTA